TAAACCGCTTAGAGAGGCCTGAAAGGCCTATGAAGCGGTATATAAGTCCACTGCTATTGCTATTACTGCTACTATATGAAACATGATTTAAAGCACAGGTCTCCAAGGTCGGCAGTTTTGAGGCATATGGATTTCAACTCTCAGAATTCCTGACTGGCCTGAGTAATTCTGAGAGTTGAAGTCTTTAAGTTGCCAAGTTCCGAGGCCCCCAATTTAAAGGACGTTTCCCTGAAGGAATGTAGAAGTACAACAGGAATAGGAATGTCAGTTAAAACACTTCTGAAAGGCAGGTATATAATACAAAATAACTAATCAGCAAGTCTCATTGTTCCCCAAAACATAACAAAGGTTTGGAGAATGGAGAATGAAGATGAAGGATTCACTGATTAAAGAAATATTATTTATGCAGGAGATACACAAGTTTTGCTATTTACGGGCTCTGTTGTATAGTAAATTCAATCCCGAAATGCAATGTTTAGACGGTAAATAGGAAAGTTAAATTATTACCTAAATTTCTGCAATCAGATTGAAAAAGGGCATCAACAGAAAAGACACCCCTCTTCCACATTAGGGTGACTTCAGTACAGTTTCATGCTGAGAAGGAAAACTATGTTAACACAAGAGCCTCTTTTAATACTGAAAATGCCACGAACCTTGTTCTGTTTTCTATTGGAGAATTCAACTCGGAATTTACGCTATTATTATTTCCAGTTTCTGATCCTGTGTTTCGAATATATGGCCTTCTTCCCGTTGCAGATAGGGGTTTATTTACTGCCCCTAAGACGCCGGTTGGCTTCGGCTGTAAAATAGAAAAGTAGTTTACAAAAAAAAAATATAGAAAGAAAGAAAAGTAATTGTTCTGCCTCAAGGAAACATTTGAATGTTTGTTTGTCCTGCCTGCTGCAGTTCTTCAGTCTCTTTTGCGCTTTCTACATAAACACAATTGTTTTGCTGAGTGAGGCTGTGAGCGTAATTCAGGATTACTCTTCCGTGCTGGAAGCTACTGAGTATTGCAGAAATAAAAGACACCACAGGGAAGGCAGGGAGGTTTTTGGTGTGTGTGTGTGTGTGTGTGTGTGTGTGTGTGTGTNCCCCCTGGTCACGGCCGTCAGCTGTGCTTCTAAACTAAGCCGCGTATCCAGGAGGACTCCCAGATTGCGGGCCCTCTCTGAGGGGGCTAAGATTTCAATATATAGAATATTTTGTTTAAAACGTAGGAATAATAATTGGGGTTGAACTATTGATGCAAAATGTTGTTGTATGCATGGATTCAATATTTACAATATTTTGTTTAAAATTAAGGAATAATAATTACAATTGAAAAATTGAACATATAACAATAATGTACTTATGTTTATCTAATGAACAATTTGTGATCTGATATATAATTGGAAGTGGTGACCATGGAAAGGACGCACAAAATCTTGTAACCAAATGACACGCTATATGAAATGGAAGAAGGTTGTGTGTGTTTCATGTTTTTGTTTGTTTAAAAATAAAAAATATTTTTTTAAAAAAAGAGTGGAGGCTTCTTTAAAACCAGAACAAAGCAAAATGCTTCCTCTTAGGCAAAGTGTAAATAAGAATAGGCAGCAGTTTTTATTTCCGTGTTCTGTCCTCCCTGAAGACTCAAATACCTTGGGGAAATCAGAAATCTTAAAAATTCAAGAGACCTAACCGTCATAGTAGAATAGGAGATAGTTTGATCACACTCCGACTCCTGGAAAAAACAGGTCTAAAGAAGTCACTGCTGCTAGCAGTCATTTTCTTGAACAATTTGCAGTCACACGCGTATGCAGTCACACACGTATACGAATAACATATCCCAGTGTGCAAAGAGAAGAATTGTGAGGACAGCCACAGGTGAGTCAGAATGTGGAAGAGAATGGGGATAATAGTGAAACAATAAAGGCTGTTTTGTGCATTTAATTCCCCAAGGAATTGGTAGCCAGGCAGATGATATTGCTAATGGCAAAAGAGATTTGAGATTCTGTGACTTCTCTTACGCATAGAAGACAACACCTTCCGTGAACAAAAGACTACCAAATCCTTAGTATTTTCAACAGCAGTGCTGATGGGGAAGATAACAGTCAAGAAACACAAGGACAAATAGTCTTCCTTCAGCCTGATAATTTCAAATCTCAAAGCTCCTTATTGTTTTGAAATTAATAGTAATTCATAACAGCTGCCACTGCTTCTCAGGAGAAATTCTGCTTTCATGCACTGGATGTCCTAACATCATGGCTCTCGTATGAATCCTGCTCCCCTAATTGGATAGCAATTACCATATTTTTCGGAGTATAAGAAGCTTTTGAGGAGGAAAACAAGGGGGAGGGGGGAGAAACCTGCCTCTGTCTCCCAGCAATTTGCCTCCTTGCAGCCAACAGCAAACAGCCAGTTTCAGTTTCAGTAAAGCCTGATTAGCACAAGAAAAAAAAAATCTGCCTCCCAGCAATTTGCTTCCTTGCAGCCAACAGCCGGTTTTAGTTTCAGTTTCAATACAGCCTGATTAGCACAAGCAGCTGATTGTCGGTTGGATCTGCCCGCAGAGATTGCCATAGCCTATTGCCGCCCCCGTGCACTCCATTTTCCGCCCAGTTCCGGGCAGCAGGGATCACAATGGGCAGAAAATGGGGCACTCGGAGGCAAAAAAATGGGACACGGAGGCCGAAAATGGGGCACTCGGAGGTGTCAATAGGCAATCCCTGCAGTCTGAAACAGCTGATGGTTGGGAGGCCAACAATCAGCTGCTTTGTGCTAATCAGGCTGTGCTGACGCTGAAACAGGCTGTTTGCTGCAAGGAGGCAAATTGCTAGGAGGAAGAGGCCAAAGGGTAGGGGCCGGCGGGTGGGCGGGGCTGCATTCAGAGTATAAGATGCACTCAAATTTTCACTCTCTTTTAGGGGGGGGGGGAGTGTGTCTTATACTCCGAAAAATACGATAAGCAGATACACATAGATTTGTGGTTGCCACGCGATTTGTGGTTTCAGAGGCACAACATGGGTTATCAACACAACTGGATCTGCTACTGGAATATTACAAATCCCCCTGCTGAGGTTAAATCAGATGCAGCCTTGACTCTGATCTTAGGCATGTTAAAAAGAACTATGAAGGTTGCTATTATTCAAAGGATTTAAGTATGTGGGTCCTTTCCCTTTTGAATCGTCACAAAAGCTTGGAGGATTCCAAGTGGCTGCAGAAGGGAAGCTATGTACTCAACGGACAAAGAAAAATTGCAGAATTGTCTCTAGGGGAAATTCAGCGAAGAGAGACGGATAGGGAGGCAAAGAGCACATAGTGAGAACAGGTTAAGATTTGTCCCAGAGAATAAACAAACAACCTTATCACCAATCTCCTGATAATGAGAAGAATTAATCAGCAGAACAATTTGCCTCCAGGACTTGTGGCTGCTCCAACATTGGAGGCTTTTATGAAGAGACCGGACAGGGGCCGGCAACTTTAAAGAGCCACAAAAGTCCTAATTGGAAACCCCTGTTCAATTCTGGAGTTGACTGGAAGTCTGGTTCCACCACCACCACCACCACCATAGAGTCTCCTCCTAACGCAGCATCCTTTTTCCTCTACCTGTCCTAACTGAAAGCCCTATCAATTATGGAGCCGACCAGCAACAGGGAGCTGCAGTACAGGGATGAAAGAGCCACATGTGGCTCCAGAGCTGCAGGTTACCAACCCCTGTTATAGGGTCTCCTGTTTGAGCAGAGAGTTGGACTAGAAGTCCTCTAAAGTTCCTTTCAACTCTTAAGGAGTCTTCGGATGCGATTGGCTAACCCCCCTCCCCCTCCCCAACCAAGCCAGCCTGTGTTTACCTTTGCAGGTCAATCTGTCTCTGTGCTGGTGCTGTTTTCTTTGTGGCCTCTTGCTGCTTTGG